TGCTAAATGGGTTGTGTAACTTAGCTGTGCTTCAGCAGAAATTTCCAATTCGGTTAAGGCAATGAAACACGACAGAGCGTGTGCACCGAGGAGACAGCACAGACCTCACGTGGCATGGGTGCCACTGGAGCACGCCCAGCCTCGTTGGCTGCTAGAACAAGAAATGTTTTTTCATGTTTTGCAGTGAGATGAAGGCACCCGAGCAACCAGCTCAGCGGGCAATTTGTACCACGGTGTCGGTACACGTCTCTTTACTTAACCTCAAGTCAGCTTTCAGCTTATCGCTTTCTCTCAAGCGGAGACAGCTGTTGCTCGCTTTAGGGGTACTTAAATGGATTAAATGCACATTCCAGGTGTCAGAACCTTTTGAGATCTGCATCCTGCCTCTCCAAAATCCGTGTATTTTGGGTAAACTTGGAAATTTGGAAATTGCCCAGTTTTCTAACTTTTGTGTCAATCCAGACATGAATTCTGAAGTCAAGACTCCTCGGAGCGAGTCCACGACCCATCTTGCGCAGGCAAATATTTCTAAAAAATTTGTTACAAGGTGATGCTGTTTGACCATTTTTCACCTGACTGGATTAAGAAATTACTCCAGTTGTTGACCAAATTTGAGATTAATCAGCCCAGCTAATTCTTAAGTGCAAAGTCTTCTCAAATAAGACATCTTCCCAGATAAGACATTCTCCCAGGTGTTGGATTTATCTTAAGAACAGAGGGATGTATTTGGCAAGTTTGGCAAATGAGGAGCACCCACTCCTTTTCTTAGGACATGGCAGGTTCCCGATGTACTTTCAAGGCCTGGCTGGCCAAGCGTGGTCCCTGTGGCTATGTCAGTCCTGTGCCCAGAGGCACTCCTGCTCTAAGCCTCACTGCACAGCCATGGCAGTGGAAAGTGGACATTGCATAGATGGGGCCTTTCACATTTTGGAAAGATAGGGTATTCATTCCTAGTTCTCCTCCCCAAGAAAGGGCTTGCTGCGTTTTCCGCAGTGAGAAATAGCCCTTTTCCAGTTTTGTTCAAACCTAAGTCTCCCCAGTTTCCCTCCCAGTCCCTCTGCTGGGGTTTCTCCCCGCATGCCCAGCCTGCAGCAAAACCCAACCTTTTCTCCAGCCACAGCAGGTAGGGTGGACAGTCACATTTCAGTGTCGTAAAGGCCTGACCAAACCGGTGCTGCGGAAACTTTCGGAGTTCTTCTTCGGACATCGGTCGAAATCCTAGGACGATGTCTGACCAGAAAGGTAACTCTTCCTTGGGAGTGTTTTTAAAGACCTGCCACCTAAAAGGACACAGAGAAAAAGCTGAAAAACTTAGGCGCTATTGCTCTGCCATGTTCCGTGTCATGGCCATCTTAGCACAAACCCAGGAACTCAGGAACCTGTTCCTGCTCCTCAGTGCATCTCTGCAAGGTCATCAGCAAAGAGGAAACATTGCTGCCTGCTGCAGCGATACCCGCCTTCGCAAACAGGCAGAGAGCTGCCGCAGCTGAGCTTGCAGGTGACATATCGGGGTAAATAAACTGGAGTTCTTCCAGCTACACTGCATGTAATTCCAGCTGTAGAAGTGCAAAGTCCCCGCACACAGCGTCCCCACCATGGCTACAGCCACCCTGGCTGGATCTTTATGTAGGGCCACTTGGTCACATTTTTTTGTGTACCCGTAAATCTACAGAGCGCCCAGCCTCAACACTTCTAAGAGGCGAATTTCTGTATACATACTCGGCAGCATAAAACACCCCAACACCACCCCTCCCAGTTGTATCTCTGTACCTAGTTGCTGAAGCTGGAGGATCCCACAGTCCCGTCCCTATGAAGACCACCCTTGCTGCAAGCAACTGGTGGCTGACAGTATGGAAACCATCAACTGTTAAGAGATATACAGCGCTGGCCAGTTTTGAGTGGTTTCCCTGTGCACACCTGTGCATTAATTTTGCTTGAAAACACACCCTATCTGAGCAGCTGCAATGCTGTTTCTTGGGAACATGGTCATAAGACCTAGTTCATGAAGCGAATATGCCTGAGCTCCAGCAAGGAAAACCTCTCTACCTGCTCCAGCACGCAGCACACAAATACCAAAGGCTGCCCTGGGGGGCCATTCTTACCCAGAGACCAGGTGAATGCCAGCCTCTGACGCCTCGGCTGAGTTGCTGATGGCAAAAAGGTAAGTGAAGGTCTCTTTGAACCACTGCTTCTGGACATGGATTGGTGTGTCTGCGTGTAAACAAAACCAAACGTGCACAGAGGAACAATGAAAAGAAGGGAAGCATCCAAGCCAGTGACAAGGAGATGGGACAGATGGGGAATGCAGGGCATGGCACTTTTCTTCCTGAACCTCCATGTATCGCTGCACACCCAGGCAGGCAGCTGGATGCGGTGCCATGGACAACACCGCGCCGGGTCGCACGCACCTGGGTAGGTGTGAGGGATGAGCATCCCAGCTGCGACGTCACTCGTTGTGTTGGGGCTGAACTGGTCTGAAAGGACCGTCACGGAGCAGCTGGGGCAGGTCTCTGCGATGCACAGTGCTGTGGACAGGCCAATGACTCCCGCCCCAACCACTGCGACCTTGGGTGCCACCATCTCTGGGGTGCAGAGCCAGAGGAGAGAGACACCTACGTGCATTTGGAAACAACATATGCCGTGTCACCAATATCCATGCCGCACACCCTCGTCAGGCTATGGAATACCCATAACCCGCTGGGGCAGCTAATTGAAGACTAATTGCCACACACAGAGAGCCAAGACTGAGGTAAGGATTAAAAAAGTCCTCCTTGCCTTTGGTATGATGACTAATTTTTGGAAAGTATTTCAACAGCCACCAAGCCATCCTCAAGCACAAGAGCAAAGGGCAAGAAAGCCATCTGTACATAAAGCACTGGTCTTCGGGCTGCAGCAATCTGGGGCAAGGTTTTTTTCAATAAAACCCAAGGAAGCGAGGCACCCATCAAGCTTTCCGTCATGTCAGGGGCAAAAGCGTCTTTGGAGCTCTGTGGAAATTGGCTTTTAGGCACCATGAGTGAAAAGGTTGAGCATCTGGATCTCCAGCAACGAGGTCTGTCACTGCCTGGGCAGTGAAGGCAAATTGCACAGGAGGCAAACTGGTTATGCAAAGGGTCCAGCGCATTGTGGAAAGTAACGTGCATTTTAGTTCCCCTGCTGTGCAGGGCTCCCCCGCTCACCATGAGGACTGGGTTACCTGCTTAGCTTTGTCCTAGAAAATGTGAATTTTAGCTGTTAAACTCAATGCACAGCTTCCCAGCGTACAGCCTGGCTGTTTACGCTCCTGCATCCAAAAATTTTGGGGGCCACAGTGCCTTCATGGGAAAAGTGTGGGAAAAGAAGCTACCTATACCCTGGGGGACTTTGCATCCCTGGTAACCTGAGGTCTCCAACTCACCCTTGGCCCCTGTACCCGCCAGCGTGACCCACTGCCTTGGACAGATGTGTGGGCATCTGAGGCTGCCATGCTCTCCCAGAGGCACACGGTGGTGTCCAGGAGCCAGCCAGCCTCACCACCCCAAGAGCCTGTATATTTGCTTCTCTCTGCCTTGCTTTATAACCTGCTTTATGTCCTGGAGCAGCTTCATTCCACTCCTCAGCATCATCAACTGCTGATTGTGACTCCAGGAGGTGTCGCATCTCTATTTTCCCTTGCCCTGGCCAAGTTCTGGAGCTTGGCACCTGCCCTGATGAGTGGTACACAGCTCCTGGTTGATAATCACCTAGCTGCCCATCCCAGCAAGGTGCCAGCCTATGAGCCTGGCCTTGGCCAGCTAACAGGTTTCACACCAGCAGAGGCATGAAAAACTCCCCAAAGCCAGGAACTAAACAGGCCCAAAAGAGACTGGGCAACCTCAGAGGTGATAAATCCTTCAGCAGCTTGGAAATAGGTGAGTCGGGGTGCACCTGCTGGCTCAGGCACTCCTTTGAGGGGTTACTGCCAAAAGCTAAGGAGGGACGTAGGGGGAGAATCTCCTTCGGCTATGGCTTTTATGTTTTCCCGCAGTATCTACCAATATTCACTCTTAGAGATGATGCTGAATTATATGGACCTTTGGTTTTGTGCCCTTACGATCTTGCTTTCTCCTACAGGACTCGCTTTTCCCTGTCTGTAGAAATCCAGCCTCACTCATTGCTTTCTGAGAACATTTTCTGGAAAGCAGTACCTGCAGTTATAAGGATGGGCTGATTGCCCATCTTCCTGTGGCTTTTGGCATCTTTGATGTAAGTTTAGGCAAGACAGACTGTGTGGGATTACGATAGGTCAGGTTTATTTGTGAGATCCTTGCTCATAAATCTTCACACAGCTTCTCACTTACCCCTGAGGTTTTACTACTTAAAATTTGATGTCTCTACTATACAGGAAGGGAGAGAGGACCAGGCACTGCTGCTCATCATTGTATTCCTTCTGCATCGCAGCCGAGGGTTCTTACAACACCTCTTCTTCCTCTCAGTATGATGCTTAAGTTTCTTCCTGTTAATTATTACACCTTCTTTCACAAGCTGGCTGTAAAAGTGCCCACAC